GAAGATAAAATCAGATCAAAGATACGAACATGAATTTTCCAAGGATGGCAAGCACTCGAAAGTTTCTAGTAACGTATGGTGAGAATTAGAATCGTTTTCTTTGTTTCATCTGATTTGTAGGACATGCAACACAAAATGAGGCCTAACTAACCAAGGTTCGAACAACAACAACTTATTGCTAACATAGGACATCACTATATAATTAATACTCTTGCTTTCCACGAAAGTGTTAAAATAAAATAAAGTAAATTTTTATTAATATATTACTCCTTGTATCTCAAAATAATTATATTTTTTATTTTGAATTTATTTTAAATTAATTGTTATTTTTTTATTTTTTAAGGTAGATTAGTATTTTTTTTATTTTAACTTTATTATTATCTATTCACTTTAATTAATCATTCAATAATAAAAAAAATTTTTAATGAAAAAATTTTAAAAGAAATTTTAAAAATAAAATTTATTTTGAAATAAAAAGAGTAAAATTTAATACTATCTATTTAAAATGGAAAATGCTGTGTGCACCCTCCGGTTTAACACCTGGGGGTGCACACCCTTAATGACCAAACAATTTTAACAATAAAATTACAGATTTAACCTTAAAGTCATTTTCCTCTCAATACCCTTTTTTCTTCTTGCCCCTCCATCTTCCTCTGCCGAATTCTTCTCCTTCCCCGAGATCTGCTTCACCCTTTTATTTATTTATTTTTTTTTTTGGGATGCTTGGCGATGACGATGATGATGGTGGTGATGGTGACGGAAAATAGAGAGATCTATGGTTCTGCCCCTCCCCTTCTATTTCGGTGGTGATTGAGGATGGTGATGGAGGTGAAGGTTGTGATGATGATGAGATGCAAGGAGATGGTATTTGGGTTCTCCTGAGAGAAAGAAAAAAAAAAAGGGGTTTGGGTTCTGGAGAACCCGATCTGGATTCTCCAGGAAGAACCCAGATCGGGTTCTCCAGGAAGAACCCAGATCGGGTTCTCCAGGAAGAACCCAGACTGGGTTCTTCTCGGAGAACCCATCTGGGTTCTTCCCGAAAAACCCATTTGGGTTCTTCGATGGGTTCTCCAGAAAGGCTGGGTTCTCCTAAGAGAGAGAAAGAAGAAAAAAAGGGGTTTGGGTTCTGGAGAACCCAGACTGGGTTCTTCCCGAAAAACCCATCTGGGTTCTTCGATGGGTTCTCCAGAGAACCCAGACAAAAAAAAAAAAGGATAAATTTGTAATTTTACGTTTAAAATTGTTTGGTTAGGAGAAGTGTGCACCCCCAGTGTTGAACCGGGTGTGCACTAATCATGGTCCATTTAAAATATTTAATTTATAATAAAATTATCAATTATAAACTAGGTGTGTTTTTTAGTAAGGTCTTTCAGTCCAGCTTCCATGTGGTCTTCCCTTAATTGAAAAACAAAAAATTTCCCATCCAGAGCAAACCCTGCTCAGTGCTAAAATCTTTTGATAACGTTCTTCTACAAACAAATATACAAACAAATAATTATTAAGTTATGCTCTTCCAATACCTTCAATTAATGGTGGCTACTCTAAAACTTTAGTATAGGTTCTTCTCTAAATTTCTTATTAGGAACCCTAACTCTAAATTTCAAAAATTACACAAATCCTTCTCATGATTAAAGATCAAGAAAGTACCTTTTCTCCATATAAAAGCTGAAATCAGTCTTCTGCGAACTAGTGAATAATGAATACCAACATGTTACTTCCCCAAATTGAAAACAAAACAGAAAAATTGATCAACCTCATAATTTTTTTTTTTTGGGTATTAACTCTTCGGTATCCAAAAATTATATCGAATTTTGATTAATCTGGAGTCGAATCGAGTCGGACCCCATATGGAGGAAACTCTTTCGGTGCCTATTTTTTCATTTACAAAATTCGAATTCGAGATTTTATTTAAAAAAAAC